CTGGGTTTTAAATGTTTCTAATCTGGGTTTTAAATGTTTCTAATCTGAATTTTAAATATTTCTAATCTGGGTTTTAAATGTTTCTAATCTAGGCTCAGAGGCTCAGAAGGGACAGATGTCCAAACGGAGACTCAGAGGTGACAGAGCTTTTTCTGTAACCACACCAAGATTATGGAACAGACTGACTCTTCCCATCAGATGAGCCCCTTCACTGTCCATTTTTTAAAGTCTTTTCAAAACACATTTTTTATTCCCTGGCTTTTGGCACAGCCTAAAATTTGCTCTGCACTGCTTTTATTGATCTTACTGTTTTAAATGTTTTAAGTGTTTAAATGTTCTTGATTTTATGTGTACAGCACTTTGTTGCAGCTGTGGTTGTTTGTTTGAAAGGGCTTTATAAATGAAGTAGCAGCAGAATTAAATCCTTTTTCTTCAAACTAAGTCGTTCAAAGAGCTGGAGATAGCGAGTAAATATCAATTTTGCATAAGTGCACCACGAGTCAAAATGGCTGTAACTTCCCTTTAAGAAACCAAAGGAGTGAACGGTCACCGGGTGGTTACAACATGAGGTCCTACCTGAACAGAAACCTCGCCCTCCAGTTTTTCCATATCGCCCAGCAGTGCAGAGATCAAGGAGGATTTTCCGCAGCCCACGTGGCCCACGACAGCCAGCAGGGAGCCCTGAGGCACCATCACATTAATGCTAAAAATACACAGTTGTCACTTCAATGATTCCCAAATGCAAACACAAGACGTGCCCATGGAGTGTGTGGATTTACAGAACATACTTGTGTAGAACAGGAGGATCTTCTTTCGCCCACGTGAACCTTCCATTAACTATCGAGACTGAAAACTCTGTTGAAACATGGCACGTGGCTTTTTTTATAACAGGTTTTGAACTGGTGACAGTCATTCTTATGCTCTTGAAGCCTTGAGTCACTGGGTTAAATAATCTCATGGGAATATAGTAACAATGCCTTACTTTACAAGAGACAATGAAATGTTGACAATGCTCTTTAAATAACATGCTATGGCTTTAACGAAAGAAGAGACTGCTTAATTCAAACCTGTCCCCGTGTTCTTCCTGTCCACGGAGTTTGGGTCCAACTCATCGTGACTCAGGAAACTTTGGATTCGCTTCAATGAGACGCTGGCCTGAGACGCAAACCAAAATGAACATTATTCAAACTTTCTGAAGAAAAACATCAAATGACGTAAAGCATGTCCAAAAAAGAGAAGGGCACCTGCACAAGGCCAGTGATCACTTGAGGAAGCATGTTGAGTGGAAACCTGAGGATGTTGAAGAGCGAGAGCGACACAAAGGCCTTCTCCGCATCCAGGATGTTTTTCTCATCTACCGTCACATACACGGCAAACGTTGTCAAGGCGACCTGCATGGGCAAAAAGACCAAATCAGACATCACAGTCCATCCCATGTAGATCTGAACCCAGGGTCTTGCATGTGCTGCAAATGGATGCCACAAAGGATTCCTTATATTACAATTAACAGAAAGAATGTTTATTGTTATAGTAAAAAATATATTTCATACAACGAACGGGAGAAATTCAGTTGTTCTGACTCTGCTGCTCAGTATCGAGTACGACCGTCACACAAGTCTTACAATTTTCCAAGATTAAGACGAAATTAGCTCAAGACTAAGAGTTGTTAGACAAAAGCAGCAATTCTACCTAGAAAACTTCATCAAGAATTTTCTATAAAGCACAACAAATATTTGAGATTTACTTTTTTAATGATCTAAGCTGAAGAAATGTTGACGGTTTGATAATAAAACTGCAAAAGACGTTTGAAGAGAACCGAGATCGAACAGCTAAAAGTTGTTGCGAACGGCTCATTAGGGTCCCCGTGGTAACCACATGCCTGTGCATGGTACCACCAGACAGCACTTTTAATGAAACAAAATGTGGTGTGTATGGCAAATAAAGAAACTTTGACTTTGAGAAACTCAGACTAGGAAGTAAAACTCAAACAACAGTGCAAAAACTACACAATATATGAAAAAGACTTGTGGACTGCAAGTGATGAGTCTGAGTGTTACACGTCACTTATTATGTGTCGCGGTAAAAAGACCATTCATGGGAAGCAGAAGAGTGGAGGGTGCTGCAGCGCCCCTTCATGGCTGCCAGAGAACATGCATGTTTAAATACATACCGTAATTCCCGGTGTACAAGCTGCTACTTTTTTTCTCACACTTTGTACAACGCGTTTTATATGCAGGAACAACTTATGTTTTTTTTTTTATTCCATAAGTTATGATTTATTTTGAAAGACTTCCTGTCATCTCTCAGCAGCTTTCTGCCGCTGACTAACATTTTCCTTTGACAGAGCTGGGCTGCTCACGGAGCTGCCTTGCACCCACCCCCAAGAGGGGGTGTTTGTTACACAGAGTGAATGCCCTCATGCACCAAACCTCTTGCTCAGGGTTTCAAATTCCCTACCATAACCTTCCCTACCATAACTCCACCCACTCTGTCATCATGTGACCAGAAGTCTTCTGGGGAATGATGCGTACAGCACGAGGGAGCGTGAGGAGCGCGACACAGAGGTGGTGTGTGAACACGGTTTTCTGAGCCTCGAAGAGGACTTTAATTCTCAGGAGGACGAAGAACATAGTGACTTTTGGTTGACTAGCGGTACTTTTTTTTTTTTGCCATGTTAAAGGCTGTTCCCCCTCCCCTGGGTCACGACATGGGCTCCACTGAGAAGAAGTCATATAAAACAGTCTAGTCTGATACATATTTTAATAAAAGTTTTAAAATTCTTCTGTGTGACATCTTTCTGTGCACGGTAAATACTGTCAGTCAAGACTGGTACATATTAAAAAAAAATAATAATCTGTGTGCGGTAAATATGTTTAAATACCAGCACGGTGGGAGACAACAAGAGGGAGGAAGGAGGAACAGCCCCTCCCTCTTGTTGTCTCCTCCGCTCCTCATATGAGCTCTGCTGAGTAGAAATCACATCAAATGTATTTATTTATTACATTTAAAAACAGCAGTTGTTATCAAAAGTGTTTAACAATAAAAATCAATGGTACTAATTTAATGAACACTTACTGTATTTTACTGGTACTATTTGACTTCCGGTCACATGACCTCGATAAGACTTGTGGGTAATATTTACCGGTATATACATTTTCTAATAATTTTGGTTACGTAGGTGTTTGGCACTGTTCTGTCCAGTGATCATGCTTAGATAGTTGTTGTGTTCATTTTGAAGGTATAATGGTTTGAACCGTGAGTCAGACAGCGAAGCTTCATGAAGACTTGTGATGATCATGCAGTCTAAGCGTGTATTGAAAGCAAGCTGTATTCTGTAAATCGCCATCTGGTGGCTGATTCTTGTACTACAAGACGCACATCATGTCAGAGCCGACTGAGCACAGTTCCTGACGATGACCGGTGGATGCCCGCGGCATAAAAACCAGAGCATCTTATGTACAAAATTATAATTTGCCTTATATTTAGTATAGGCAGCTTAGAAACAGGTGCGCTCTGTAGCCTGAGCATTACAGTAATTAAAATGTTAACTTATCCTAAATATGACTCCTAAAGCTGATTCAATTACTCTCTTCCTTCGCTTGAAAATGGTTATCTTGATTCTGAAATAATTTCCAATTTTAAGTTTTTGTGCATGCTGATCACAATCTATACGATTTGAACACTTGCCAATTTGTACAAACAACCATAAATGTGACTAATGAGTTAGTGGAAGCTGCCTAAAGTCTAAAATACTTCCTTTAACATGACCTCTGTTAAACTACCGTATTGATAAATTAGTTGTTGTCCCTTAGTAAATGCTACACTTTTAGGACAGTTCAGGATATGAGGACAAGGTTTACCAGGAAAGGGGCGCTGGTCCAGGCCATGGTGGACAGCGCTCCCAGGTAGGCTGTCTTGCGCAGAACATTGAGCTCGTTCTGCCGGATGGCCAGGACTTTGTCTTTGAACGAGTTCTCCCAGGCATACAGCTTGAGAACTTTGATGCCATTCAGAATCTCGTTCATGAGCTTGATGCGCTGGTCCTTGTACTGCATCTGTTCCACCTGAGAACGACAAGAGAACAAACGGTACTTTGTTTGAGAGGAAACAGACTGGAAACCAGAAGTTTTACATGAGATTCAGGCAAATATTAGTAAAGCCTGAAAATTATCACAAAAAAGCCTTTAGGACTTGTTACTTTAAATGTGCTGATAAAAGTCATTGAAACTTGTGTCCATTCAACAAATATGTTTTACATAAAAAAAATAAAGCAACTTAAAACATTTTTTTTAAATGTTAATAAATGTGAAACAGTAGACGTGGCTGGTGTTCTAAAACTTAGTTTCATTGTCCACACCTGGTAGGCTCGTGTCTTCATGGCGATGAAAGCATTAAATGGGAGGAGCAAGACCATGACAGCCACTCCAGCAAGCACAGACGGACCGAGGTTCTACAAACAGACAAACAAACAAACAAACAAAAAGGTTTCAATAATAATTTAACTATAAAGCAAAACACCATGAAAATTATGTATTTTTGTAAATACAATAAATTCCTCCCTGCTAATTAAAATGATTGAAAACCGTATCAACTTTTAAAATTCTACTTTGCAATAAAAGCAAACAGAAACTGAAATGATTGTATCCTAATGTACCTAAACTTTGCCGGGCGCCCCAACTTATTAATTTCTTTGAAGCTGCTTAAATTTGACGTAAGTTAGAGGTCTGAGTAAAATCCTGTCAAAATGGAGAATTCTCACGCAATTTCTAACCAACACAAAAAGTAAAATGTATAGTGTGACGTTCTCTTTTTGCAAAGCGTTTGAACTATATATTCCTGAAACAAATAATGGACAATAAATACTTTAGGGAATATCTCACTAGTTTGCGACTGTTGATTATTTGGCGAACAGCATTCGTGATGGAGTCTCCAAAATATCTCAAAAGAATCGTGTTTTTTTTCCTAACCATCCATCATTCTCTTTTACCAACGTTTTCCTTTCCAGGTCATGAGGAGCTGGTGTCTATCTTCAGCAGTCACTGTGTGAGACGTGGGGGACAACTGGACAGGTCTCCAGTCCATCACAGGGACACACAGAGACAAACGAGACAATCTCACTCACAATTTAGGGACAATTTACCAATTAAACCAACGGATGAATGTTTTCCAAGTCAAAGCAAACCAATGTTAAATATAAAATAACTCAAAATGGATTTAAATCTGGTTTTCTTTTGAAAGTGTGCTCCAGAAAACACTAATCATAATAATTATGGGGAGGCTGCCAAGTTAATACAAAGCAGGCTGAGGTGGGTGAGTGTGCATGGGATATCTTGGTAAGTAGTTTGCAACAACGTTTGCGTACCTGCCAGAGGAAATACAGTGCCAGCATAATCTGCAGAGGAGCAGACCACAGCATGTTGAGAAAGGTGGTGAGGTCCATGAACCTTTGTGCATCCACAGACATCAGGTTTACTATCTCTCCCACCGTGGAGGAACGTTTGGCAGCATTAGTAATCACCAATGCCTGCAGAACAGTAGAGAGAACAAAACGTGCATTAAACACTGTCCTAATTCATTTTGTACAACTGATGTCACTTTCTTTTATAATTCAACTTTAAGACTATTTGATGCATACCTTCCTGTAGATGGCTCCTATGATGGCTGTGCGGACGTGCATTCCAGTGATGAAACAGTACTGAAAGTGATGGTGGAGGATGAGAGTTTGCAGCAAGGCTGTGAAGAACATGAGGAAGGCTAGTGCGTACCCCCACCAATCAGGAACATCCTGCTGTTTTGTGAATGAGATCAACATCCTAGAAAAATGCAAGGAAAAACTGATAAGGGTGATTGTTCCACTGCCTTCATCTGACTGTCTTTGAGGGTCAGGATTGAAGGATGCTACGCAGAAGATACTGCAAGTGTACAGACTGTGATGGGAAGCTGAACTTGTTGTTTTAAAAGAACAACGGGAAGATTGAACTGTTGGGTGGTATAATAAGATTTACTGTGAAATTAAATATATAATACAGCACAAATAAAACTAAAGAATGCACAATATAAAACTGTGTTAATCTACTTGTCGAGGAGGAGGCAGTAAGTTTATATGTTGAGAGGATGAAGACGGAAAGAAGAGCGCAGCAGTTAATCAGACTGAAGAGATCGCTGGCGCATTGCGCAATAATTGCGCACGTGGGCTCAGGCTTGTATGATGTGGTTTTACAAATCATACAGCACAAAGAAAACTAAATGCACAATATAAAATTGTGTTAATCTACTTGTCGAGGAGGAGCCAGGTCTGACCGGCCAGTTTAAAGAGGTAAAGAAAAAAGTTGCGTTAAGCTCAGATGGACAACCATGGACTTGTGACTTGTGCAGGGTGTCCCCCACCTCTCGCACAGTGACTGCTGGACATGGGCACCAGCGACCCCCACTACCCAAAAAGGAAGAAACGGGTAAAGATAATGGACAGAAGGATAGATGAATGGATGGATTGATGGATGGATTGATTCGCGGATCACTGGCTGCGTGCGTCTCCGTACCTTCTGTCATCTGAAGTGAAGGAAGTAGCAGCATCGACAAAAGCTGAAGCGAGCAGCCTGTTCCATTAAAATAGACTTGTTCTATACTTTTCCAAATAATTTTGCTCTAAAAATATTTTTCTTCTTCTGTGTCTGTCGTTACTGTTGATTTTTTAGGCTATTTGTTTTGTATGAAATATCTATGTGGTGAAACAAGAAATCTTATATCTTCTTTTCTTTGAAATGTGTTTTTAAAATATCATGTCAAACTGATTTGCTTACAAAAGCAGTAAAAGCTTAAAAAAAAAAATATATATATATATATATATCCATTTTTATTTTTATTTTTTTGGGATTCAGGCCTGTATTTATAGTTAAATGACTGGATCGGTTCAGAAAAAAAGGCTACGGGCTGGGGCCAGATCAGGAGGGATTTTTAGGCCTGAATGCAACTCTGTGGAGAGCTAACCAGGGAAACCCAAAAATCAATGGATAGGTGGAAAAAGAAATAGCACAGAACTCACCCATCTCATGATGGTTTCCTGAGATAACGAGAGGTATGGGCTCTGTCTGGTGTGTGAGGAGGATAGAACCTGATTCAAGACGGACATTTAGAAGATATTCAAGCTGTACAATGGCTTTAAAATTCTTAAGTTTCAACGAGAAGAAGTCTGAAGTCATCTTGTTCCATCC